AAAAAAAAAAGAAACAACTTTTTATAAAAGTGAAAACTAAGGGTCAAGGAGGTTAAATGATTTCTTCAACCTAAACTAATTCAAAGGACATTTACCACTCTTGGTGTCCTCGGCCAAGACTGAGCCAGCCTTTGGTAGAAAGAGGAAGTCCAGCTTCCTCTTCTACATGAGAAGAGAACTCTTCTCTTCACGAGATGAAAAGTTTCCGTCCATAGGCTATCCCCTGGGCTGCAAGAAAGAATGAACAGATGTGTCCTAGAGGAAGTACAGCCAGAGAGCATCTAGGAAGCACTCACTTACTTCTGGCTCACGTACTTTGGGCATGTTGCTAGGAAGGGCTATTCCTAGGAGACGTACGTAATGTTTGAAAAGGAAAGTCAGCAAAGGAGAGGAAGACCCTCAGCAGGATGGATTGACCCAGTGACTGCAGCAATGGGCTTGAGTATGTCAGAGATGGTGAAGATAGCACAAGATAGGGCAGGTTCAGATCTGTTGTTCACAGGGTTGCTATGAGTTGTACTCAATTCAATGGCACCTGAACAACAACAACAGTAAGAGTTTTTGGAAGGAGAGTGAGACCACATGTCTTGACTAAGTGAATCAAAAGCAGTAGCGTCAAAACCTTGGTGCAGGGTCCAGCTCAAAGGTGGCAGCCAATCAAGCTGCTTTAAATGCATGTCTCCCTATGTCACAATACTGACAATAATCCAATGTTAGCATCTGGTTCCTCAAAGGACGCACTATACCTCTTCAGTGTCTCCCATTCCAGGGCTTTGGCTAATAATTTTTCTCAGGTTAATGTTCTGGATTGCCCAAATTTAAAAAATTTGAGTTCGTTCCAGTCTTGCTCCATTGGCCATGACTGAACTGTTTCAAAGCCCCACTTTCCACCAGCTCCTGGCATGCCTGAGCAGGAGATAATCCTATTATTACATATTTATAACATAAAAAAATCCTTTACATGTGGATGAAGCATCACAGATGGCTCATCTCACACAGGGTACTTAGAAAAAACACAACTAATATTTGCCTGTGGAGCCTCATTTTCTACTCAAAGCATTTTCTAGCGATGATGGAAGACCTCACACATTTTTAATAGTGGGAAACTTTCACTCTTTATTTATAGACTTCTGTATTTTTTGAGATCTTCTCTAACAATCTAGTCCTACTTTTATAACAGTAATTAAGATAGCTGTGCAAGATTACAAAGCTCTATGTGGGAAGGCTGAGACGAGAGCTGGGTCTGACTCCATGGGCAGGGTTCCTTCTACAATCCAGAATCATCCATTCATTCAGCCCACATTTATAAGCGCCTACATTATGCCAGATATTGTGCAAGACACTAGGGAGTCACTGGTGAACATGACAGCCAGTCTTTGCTCACATGGTGTTTTAGTGCCGAGCGTTTCTTATGGTAGTGCATGTAGAAATGACTTCTGAACTACCTGCTGTTCCAAACCAGCATCACCACTTCACTTCAGTAGAGCAGAGAATCAAGAACTGTCCTTTGAACTATGGGCCAGTGTTGGAAAGCAACCAATGTAACTATCAGGACAGGAGAAGAAGACAAGAGGCAGCCCAGGCTCAAAGCTGGGATGGCACCCCAGCTAGGAGAAGCCCAAGGCAAGCAGGTCATTGGGACCTGCACCCAGATGCCCATCCTGTGAAGCACCTCCCCTCCAAATCCCAAATCTCACTTCAAAAGCCAGCCGGTCTGACTGCCGCTGCTGCTCCACCTCCTGCAGCTTGGCGAGCAGGTCTCGCACGGTCTTCCTCAAGCTCTCAGCGTCTTCATTCAGATAGGTGTCCACCTATTATCAGAGTGGGGTAAAAGTGGGGTCACTACGTTTGTGGCTTGTTAAGAGATGGTCCTGCCATTCTTCCACTGGTTTAGACCATCTTGACTGAACAGAATCCACACACAATGGGAGCGTTAGTCTTAGGCAACAAAGAACTCTGAATTACTCTTAAGAAGATACTCTTTTCCCTGCAAGTCCTAAAAAACTCATCAGGCTTTAAACCACTCAATTATTTTAAAACACCTTCAGTAATTTAATATACATGTTACCAACCAATTGATATGTATATGTCCTGCTTCCCTTGTTCAAACTACACATCTCTGACAGCAGGGATCATGTTATCTTTCAGACCAGGGTTCTCCAAGGGCAGGGACTGAGCAACCCTCTTCACAAGGGAAACATCCTCAAGGCACATCGATTTATCATTCTTTGTACTTAACAAATACAGAGATGAGTATTTGATGGGTTATTGATGGGCAGGCAAGTTTAGGGGCAAATACACACAACTAGACCAGGTATCTGATTTGGTGTAGGAGAAGGTGTCTCATCAGGGTTCCTGCTCAGTCTCTCCCAGACACACCCAGTCGTGGGGTGGTGGCTGGGCTGTGCTGGCATGTAAAGTCTCGCCCCCACCTCTGCTGCACTGGCTCCACAGCCGTTTTCTTCATTTATGAACTCCCTGCAAATCTGCCAGAAAGAGTTCTCCCTGTCTTGCAACACCTTCAAGCCAGAACACAAGGCTCACATTAGACAGGGTCTCAATCACCGCTTTACTACAGAGTCCTGTGTGCCTTCCTTTCTTTCTCTGTGAAAGATTCTTTACCACACCCTGCCTTATGGGCTGCCTCAAAACTAAGTAAGATAATATCCAGTAGACCTTTGAGCTTATGAGAAGAAAGATGATGAACAGATAGTACCAGGTTTTATAATTTGTCACCAATGGCCTAATTGTCAAATACGGTGACACACTGAAGGGAAAGAAAACAATCTGTACCTCCAAAGATAGCGGTTAATTCACATTCTAAACTGTCAATAGTTAAAGCTGCTCGGCTCTGTTCTATCCACTTCTAAGTCACTCACAACAAAAATTCATTGCCTTCAAGTCAGAATCAACTTGGAGCTGACCCTCCAGTGGGTGTTGTGAGGCTGTAAAATGCAAAGGAGGAGACTGCCCATCATTTTCTTGTTGAGCAGCTGGTGAATTTGAACTTCTTGCCTTTGGGTTGGCAGCACAACTCCTTACTCAGTAGGCTGCCAGTACTGCTTTTTTTTTTTAATTTTTATTGTATTATTTTTATGTGTGCCATCAAATCAGATCTGACTGGTACAGGAGAAGATTGCCCCCTCCTTCTCCAGCAGAGCATCTGGTGGATATGAACCACATACCTCTGGGATTTCAGTGCAGCGTCTTGCCACTAGACCACCAGAGCTCCCTTTAGTACTGCTTCTTAAGCTACGTTGTTATGCTGTTGTGTGCCATCCAGTTGGAATGGAATCATAGCTGACTCTCCAGAGGGTTTTCAGAGGCAGTAAATCGTATGGGAGGAGACTGCCCATCTTTCTCCAGTGGAGAGTTGGTGGATTCAAACTGTGTGCCTTTGGGACCGCAATGCAGTTTCTTAACACTAGGCCACCAGAGCCCCCTCTTAAGCTACTAGGCTAGTAGGCTACTAGGCTTTACAAGGTTCCTAGATTATTTCTTTAAAGTAGTGTTTCCTAAGCCTATTTAACAACTCAGAAACTTTCCTCCACTATCAGATAAAGCTAAGAAAGTAAGCTATAAAATTTTGCATATGCCAAGTAGAAAAAAATGAACCCCATTTTCTCAGCAACATAGATAAAACCTAAAAAAATGGTCTTTGGTAAAAAAGTAGGGGGTTGGGAACAAATGAGAAAAGGCCCAACACAAGTTCACGAAGTAAATTGAAAATATATTTTTTTTGTTGTTGCTAGGTGTCATCAAGTTGATTCTGATTCATAGTGACTCCACTGACAGAGAAAACCCCTACAGGGCTTTCTAGGCTGTAAATCTATAGGAATCGATACCAGAATTTTCTCCTGATGGGTTCACCTGCCAACCTTCTGGTTAACAGCCGAGTATTTAAACACTGCATCACCCAGCCTGCTTGCATATTTTAGAGGCATAGTTAAAGCCGTAAAGATAATACACAAAGGTGGGAAGTGGGGAGGCAAAAGGTGTGAGGACTAGGAATGAAAAGTGCAAATGTTATCTAAAAATAAAAACAGCTAAACCAGTGAGAGGAACTGACAGGATCAAGGATAATATTTTGCCAAGAACTGAAGAGTTTATCTGATTCAAGTTGCTCTTGACGGCAAAAAAAAACCTCCCCAAAACCAGTAACTCGAGACTTAAAAAAAACACCCAACTGACTAAAGAAATAAAAAACATAAAATTAAGAAAATGCCATTATATATATATGCTGATTTTAGCGTCTCTTAACTGGTTCCAGCTCAGTGACCTGCATGTCCAACAGAACAAAATTCCGCCTGGTCCTAGGCCAGCCTAGTGCTGTTAGAGCCACTCAGTCAGTCCACCTCATCAAGGGTCTTTGATGACCCTCTAATTTACCAAACATGGTATCCACCTCAAAGGATTGATCCCTCCTGATAACATGTCTTAAGTACATGAAACGAGGTCTTGCCAAGCCCCATCCTTGCTTTTAAGAAGCATCACAGCTATACTTCTTCCAAGAGAGATTTGTTCATTCTTCTGACAGTCCATGTATATTCCATATTCTTCACCAACACCATATAATTCAAATGTATCAAGTCTTCTATTTCCTTCCTTATTCATGATCCAGCTTCCACATGCACATGAAGAAATTGAAAACATCATGACTTAGGTCAGGTGAACCTTAGTCTTCAAAGTGACATCTTGGTTTTTAACATTTTAAAGAGCTCTTTTGCAGTAGATGTGACTAATGCAATGCATCATTTGATTTCTTGACTCTGCTTCCATGTGCATTGACTGTGGATCCAAATAATAGTAAATTCTTGACAATTTCAATCTTTTGCCATTATGATGTTGCTTATTGGTTCCTTAAACCGATAAAAACCGATAAACTGAGGACATCTTTCATTCTTTTGTGGTGTCTGTAACAAAATTTATCCCTGAGGCCCAGGAAAGGGGAACAGGGCCCATGAGTTACAGCATCTCTGTGGCAGCCTTTTGGACCAGCACCTGCCATGAGTAAGACAGATGCTGAATTTGGCACAGCTGCAGCATTTGTGAAGATTCATGTTTTGTTTTCTTTATGTTGAGGTATAATCCATACAATATAATCTCATCTTGTAAAGATATACTTGCATGAAAGGAAAGTTCACCAAACTGATTTTCTCTAGGTAGACTACAACTCATATTTCTTCTCCTTTTACCTTTTCTGTGTTTCTAAATTTCCCAAATTTTCCACAATATGCATACTTTTTATCATGTCTATAGTAACAAAAATTATAAACAATTCTTAAAATTTACAACCATGGAAGGAAATACTATGCAGTCATTCAAAAGAATGAGAGAGTTATATATACTTACATGGAAATAAATTTAAAAATTAAAAAGCAAGCCACACAATAATATATTTGCCATGAACCTAAATTTCTGCAAGTATATAGACATTATAGAAATACATTCATACATGTATATAAGGGAGCTTTGGCAGCTTAGTGGTAAGATACTGTGCTGTAATCCTGAAGGTACATGGTTCAAATCCACTAGCTGTCCCCGGGAAAAGGATGGACAATCTCCTGTGTGATTAATTGTCTTTGAAAAGCTGCTGAAGGGTCAGCTATGGGTCGGTTCTGAATCGACAGTACACAACAGTAACATACATGTTTGTATCCATACGTGTGTGTGTGTGTGTGTGTGTGTGTATGTACTTGTATATACACACATGTATACATACAGTATTTAAATAAGGTTGTCTCTGTATAGAAAACAACTCTAGAACACTGGCACCCAATCTTGATTAAAGATCATCAGAGGTGCTTTTGAAAGTATTAATGTCTGGGCCATATTTCAGACCAATTAAATTACTATCTTTGGTGAAGAGAACCAGTTATTATATCCTTTAAAGCTCCCTAAATAGTGGTTGAGTAGATTCCAACTCGTGTCAGAGTGGAACTGTATTCCAATGGGTTGTCAATGAATGGTTTTGGAAGTAGATCATCACTCCTTTCTTCTGAGGTGCCTCTGAGTGGACTCAAACTTCTAACCTTCAACTTTGAGCTAAATGCATCAATCACTCGTGTGACTCAGAGATTCTGTAAAGCACCTAAGGTTATCCCAACAAATAGCCAAAGCTGAGAAGCACTGTTCTAGAAGAATCTACCCACCTCTATCTGATAACAGTAAACATTCCAAGGAAGAAAATTAGGAAAGATGAACTTCCGTTTTTCTATTTCTTTAATTTTTTTTTAAATTATTTTTTGTGTGTGTACCGTTAAATCTGATCTGACTGGCATAGGAGAAGATTGTTCCTCCTTCTCCAGCAAAGCATCTGGTGGATTTGAACCACGTAACTGTGGGACTGAGTGCAGTTTCTTGCCACTAGGCTACCAGAGCTCCCCTTATTGTTTGAATTTTTATATCAAGCAAACAGTACTTGTGTATTTGGGGCAGGGGGAAAGGGAATCAGGAGGATGTCCTGTCCCCTGGCCGAGCAGTGGTCCCAAGGTTTTCCCTCTGTTCCTCACCTCAGGGCTGCTACAGAAGGTCGAGGGGTTCTGACTAAAACCATTCGGCTTTTCTAGAACCACCTGTTAAAACAAAAGAGAAATTAGATAGTTAATAGTCCCAAGCAACCAAGTCTTGAAACATTAAGATATCAAAACTTACAAAGAAAGGATGAAGGGAAGGGAAAAAAAGAAAAGGAAATAAAATTTCCATTGCTCTGTAGGAAAATGGGAAGAAGACGGGGTAGAGGAATGGATGAGGACTAGTTCATAGAGTCACTATGAGTCGTACTCGACTCAGTGGCACCTAACCACAACAGCAACCCTAGACTTGCAGAGAGGACCAAGGAAACGTCAGGCTACCTTCCAGGGGGCTGGAACATTCAGGGGCCCCATTTCTTTGCAGCCCAGGGAACACAAGCAAAAAATGTTTCCCTTGCCCCTGCAGATCCTGACAAAGTTTGACAAAGCAAAAATCAAAACAGGAAGCATTTATTAAAACTCTTTCCAACCCAAAGCCTAATTACTCATCAAATGACTGGTTTTGAGCAAAAATAGGGGTGTCTCTGAGCACATTAAGTTCTTAATGCCACCTGAAAAGGCACCTCTTATTGGCCAGATGTGAGTTCAAGCAGTGAAAGTCTAATCATCAGCCAAAGCAATATGAATTAGGGAAGTGTCTTTCACACAAGCTTTATGCAGGTCCAAGGCTAAGAGGAACTTTCTGGGCACCAGCAGGTGAGCCACTGATCCCATTAGAGGAACAGAGACAAGGGCAGCTGGAGAAAGACAATCTCATCCAACCTAAAATGCAAGTGAAGGAGCGTGACCAAGAATGCAAAAAGAGGAGCAGGTCAAGTCCTGGAAGACATAGATCTGCTCTCTTGGAGACATTTCTGTTCTCCAATTTTGGAAGCAGAAAAGAATAATCACATGATTTACTGTATTGTTGTTATTTTGTGCTGTCAAGTCAGAACTGATCCACAGTTGACCCTCCAGTGGGTTTTCAGAGACAGTAAAATGCATGAGAGAAGACTGTGTACATCCTTCTCCCACAAAGCACTTGGATTTGAACCATGTACCTTTAGGATTGTAGTACAACTTATTACCACTACACAACCAGCACTGAATCACAGGATTATCCATCCCCAAAAGAACTTATCTATTCAGGTCAGTCTAACAAATTTACTGATGGCCTTCTGCATGCGAGGTATATATCAAAACACAGAGGGGCAAACCCCTGAAGAGCTTCCAATACAAGGGCAAAGACAGTTACATACACAGACAACTAGTAGGTTAGGGCCAAGAAGGTCATCTAAAGAAAGTGACGTCAATGGGAAGAACTCTAGATTTGCAGCTGATTGTCTCCATTATCAGGCTTTGTCTCACAAGAGGACTAATCATAGAATTCTTCTAGATTAGAATTTTTGCCAATATGCTTAACAATTTGACTGATATACATTCAATTTTTACACAATATTTTAGGAAGATCTGCACTTAGAAAGGCTGATATGTGTAAATGTATGTGTCTATCTGCTGAAGGGTCCTAACTGATTTATAAGTGTTCAGAAATACCAGCATCCCCAATATTCTCTTTCTTCCTGGTACTGGGAACACAGAAAATGGGCCTGCATGGCAGAACCCCACCTCCTCTGTAGGGATGCATCCACAGAGCAGTTCTTATTACCTGTATCTCCTGTTGATGGAAAGAATCTCCTGGATCTCTGTCAAGTTTGCTACTTATATCTTCTCGTAGTTTCTGCAGGCAGCTCCTAGCCTGGGAAGGAAGGGCAAGTAACTTTACCTTTGTGGTAGGGAGAGCGTGCCAATCTATGCACTTTCAGGCCCCATTTCCTAACCTGCACCACTCTGAGTCAGGCACTGTTCTAGGCACTGCCTATGGGGAGGAAAGATCCTAGTCCAGTAGAGTTACGACCTGGTTCCTCCTTCGTATACAAGCAACAAAATAAGCACAAACTCTGCCCTGATGGAACTAACATTCTAGTTGGAGAGAAAAGTGCCACGGAATAACATTAACCAGGGAGAGGGTCAGAAAATAATGAGAAAGGATGGTTGGCGATTTTAGGTAGGATTGGTTGAGGACAGTGCTTTGTCACTGTTAGCTGCTGGCTAGTCAGTCCCTAACTCAAAGCAATCCCATGCACAGGGACTGGACCAGAGAGGTTTTGATGGATGATTTCAGGAGATGTTCTGGTCTTTCTTACTAGTCTGTCTTGGTCTGGGAGCTCCGTTGAAGCCTGTTTAGATTCACAGCAGCCACAACCCTCCACTGACAGATGAGTGGAGGCTGCTTCTGATTCTTAGATGCAGTGACTAGAAAACAAACCCAGGGCTCAGCAAGGACAGCGAGAATTCTATCCTAAACGATAGTACCTGCTGAAGACAGTGCTGGTGGGTACATGGCATTTAGTAAGTATTTGCTGGCTAACATGGGCAAAGGGTCAGAAATTATATTTGACACATGAGAGGTATGTGGCATTTTGGAGATATTAAGGGAGTAAAAGGGGAAAAATTGGCACCCCCAAATGAAAGGAGTCAGGTAAAATTGTGATCTTTAAAGGCATAACATTAGCACTCGCACAGAGAGAAGGGAGCAGGGCCTACCTCCTGGATGTATTGCACCTCACTCTTCAGCTGGTTAATGTTCTTCTCATGGATCATCTTGTCTCCAGACCTCCCTTTCAAGTACACCTGAAATATGAACATGACATTATTTAGTTCTGCAAACATCAAGTTCAATTAGTTCCACACAAACAGGCAGCCTCATATACTATTAGTATGAAGATAAATTGCCACCATCTTTCTGAATGGCAATTTGGTGACTCTGATCAGAAGACATAGAAATGTACTGACTCTTTGACCAGCAAATTTACCGCTGGAAATTTATCCTAGATAAACTAAACTAAGTAACTTATAGTGGCATCTGGATTGGAAGAAGATTCATCAACACCCTTTGTTATGCAGACAACACAAGCTTGCCTACAGAAACTAAAACAGAATTGGACCACTTACTGAAGATCAAAGAATACAGCCTTCAATATGTGTTACATCTCAACATCAAGAAGACAAAAATCCTCACCACAAGACCAATAGGCAGCATCATGATAGATGGAGAAAAGACTGAAGTTGTCATTTTACTTGGACCCGCAATCAACATCCATGGTAGCAGCAGTCAAGAAATCAAAAGATGTGTTGTATTGAGAAAATCTGCTGTCAAAGACCTCTCCAAAGTGTTCAAGAGCAAGATCACCACATTCAAGACTAAAGTGTGAAGTGTGCCTGGTCCCAGCCATGGGGTTTTCAACTGCTTCTTATGCATCTGAAAGATGGACAATGAGTAAGGAAGACCAAAGAAGAATCAATTGTGGTGACAGAGGTGTCAAAAGGGCATTTAAATCTATCTTAGAGGAAGTGCAGCCATAAGGGTTAAAACTATCAGCCCTTTGGCTAGCAGGAGAGCACTTAACTACCCTGCCACCAGAAATTCCTATACTAATAACAAATATAGCAAGAACAATATTCTCAACTTACTTTCCACCAAAAGAAAGGACTATAAGCACACAAAAAATGCTCAAGTCATTGCTGTTGTTAGGTGCTGTCGAGTCATTAGAGAAATGCAAATTTAAAAAAACAAACTGCGAAAAACTATACTGAGCTAAAAGTTAGGGAAGTGGAATCTTTATCTATTGGTAGTGGGATTGTAAAATGTTGCAGCCACTGTGGAAGACACTTTGAGGAATAGTTCCAGGATTCCTCAAAATGTCAAACACAGAACCTACGTTTATACAAAACTTTTACACAAATGTTCTAACACTATTCAATGCAGCCAAAAAGTGGACAAAACATGCATCCACTGATGAATGGCTATACAAAATGTGCCATATCCAATACAATACAATGAAATAATATTGAGCCATAAAAAGGAATGAATATTATAGGTAAATATTATTGAGCCAAAAAAGGAATCAAATGTATCTCCCAACTTAGGTGAGCTTTGAAAATACACTATATGAAGAAAATTCTCAAACTCAATTGCTGTTCAGAACTGACTCAGAGCTGATCCACTAGTGGGTTTTTACAGGCTGTAAATCACATGGGAGGAGACTGCCCATCTTTCTCTCAAGTTGCGCTGGTGGAGGTGCAGCCTTTAGCTTAGAAGTACAACTCCCAGTGGACTAGGCCACAAGGTCGCCCTAAGTGATGGAAGGCAGACACAAAAGACGACATATTATATGAGCCCGTTTATATGAAATATTCAGAATAGGTAAATTCAGAGACACAGGAAATAGATTAGCAGTTTCTGAAAACTGCTGAAAAAGGAGCATGGCGCTGATGAGACAGGATTTCTTTTGGAGAGGATGACAATATTTCCGAATCAGAGAGTGCTGAGGATTTCACAAAGGCGCCCTGGTGGTGCAGTAGTTTAGTGTTGGCTGCTAATGAAAATGATTCAAACCTACCAGTTATTCTGTAAGAAAAAAATGTTGGGGAGCTCTGGTGGCCTAGTGGCAAGGAACTGCAACTACAATCCCAGAGGCGCACGGTTCGAATCCACCAGATGCTCTGCCAGGGAAGGAGGGACAATCTCCTCCTGTACCAGTCAGATCTGATTGGACGGTACATGCACACAAAATAATAATAATAATAATAATAATGAAAAATGCTGTACTCTTTTAATTTACATATTAATATATAAATATTTATAGCCTTCAAAACATTTGGGGACAGTTTTATTCTATCCTTACAAGGTCACTATGAGTTGAAATCAACTTGATTGTAACAAATTTGGTTTTTTGTGGGTGTTTGCATAATTCTATAAATATACTAAAACCATTGGACTGGACATTGTAATTGGGTCAATTTCATGGTATATAAAAAAGCAGGTGTTTGGTTTTTTTTAAATAAAGGAAATATTCCCCCTACACACACACACACAGAGTGCAACATGTTTCAGTGCCTGCAGTCTATGAGCAAAGAGGCCAGGCAATGGTTTAGGGCCACAGTTTTTACTCTGGCATGGAACACTATGAAAGACCCATAGGGGGTTAAAAAAAAAAGGAAAATTGTTTCATTTTAAAATGAGTTTCATAAACAGATCGCCCATCTCCACAATCTAAAACAGCTAAACATACCCAGTGAACAGAAATGTGGATAGTTCACCCTATCCCTTCCCATGCCCTCGGCCAAGCAGAACCAAAGCCATCACAGACAGACTTGGGTCTCCAGTGTTAATTAAGATCTTTCCAGGAGATAGCCAGAAACTGGCATCTCAGGTCTAGTTCTTCCCACAGTCAAATGTCCCGTAGGCAGTGTCAGCCACACCCTCCCTTAGGAAGGGAGGGAAAAAATGGAGGAAAATGATACTTACTTTAATGATCTCCTCATGTCCATCATTGGACTCCACTAGTTCCGAAGCCAGAGACTGGCCAGCTGATCGGCTGGATACCATGGCATAGGTCTTCCTTCCCGCCTGCCAGAGAAAGAGAGAAATGGCTCAGAAACACATAGCAAGGGCAAAACCCCTGTCCTTCAGCCAACGCAGACCTGCTCCTCCATGGCTGGAGAAGTTAGTCTGATGTGCCACTGAAAATTAATTTCAGAAACATTACCAAAACCACACAGCAGCAAGAACACTGGACAAGGAAAATTATTAGATATCATGGGTTAGTTTCCATTTTAATGGCGTCAGCCCACCCCTCAAAGCAGCACACAAGGCAGAGTTCAGACAGTGTGTCTGACACAAGTGATGCTCCCACGCTCACAGCAGCAAAGACACTTTCCCAGAAGCACTGGCGCGAGGACTCAGCAGCCAGGAAAGGGAATAGCCAAGAGGAAGGGTTCTCACACTAAAAGAAACCTCAATACCTTCTGGGCTATGTGTTCAAGTTCGTCTCCTGTCAGTTCACTCTGGAGAGTCAGCCTGAGAATGTCCATGCCCTAATAATGACAATGACAACACTTCACCCTCACAGTCCACAGGGACAAAACACTCCAAGTACAGGAACACTTGTGGCAACTCTACAAAGTAAGCCTTATTGCCATGTCACAGATAAGGGTGACTGAGGTACAGAGAGTTGACGTTAACTTGCCTAAGTCATGTCACTCCCAGGTAGTGGGATGTATTTGGGGCCATCTGCCAATGCTTTTTCCATCGTACCACACATGCAAGGGTTACACAATATGCCACAGCTCCAGTGGGGCAGCCCTGGTCCTCACATCTCAGGAGGCACACTGCATAAACTCCTCTTTTCTCAGGACAGATCATCCCGTCAGTTGTCCCTGGCAGTTAGCCACAAAGTTATGACTGCACTAAGAGGGGCGGGGAGCCCATGGGGAGTCACATTACTAACCCAAAGGCGGCAGCCTTCTGGCAGTGTGAGTTCACCAATGACCCCTCAGGAGAAAGATGGGCAATCTCTTCCCTTGCAAGTTAGTCTCCAAAATCTTTGGAGGGCCAGCTTGGAATCAGTTCTGACATAACAGCACATTTGAGGTGCTTTTTTAAAAGACTGAAACATCCTTTCTGAACCAAATAATAGGAAAGTAACTGAATCCAAACTTTCATTTCTACGAGACACAGAGAGCCAAATGAAAGCAGACTAGATAATTTAACTAGACACCAGTCTAATTTCAAAGAACAGAGCAGGTTTTCTTTTATAAGTCAAAGAAGGTTGTGTTTTGTTGGATTCTTTTGTTGTAACCTCAAGAAGAAAGATATGAGAAAAGGAAAAATGTAGAAGCTTGTAGATTTGGGAAGATGATAACTCTGAGAGGGGGGCAGTAAGGCAGAGTGGACCTGTCATAACCTGTGTTTTGTTCAAAGGTACAAAAGGGGCTGACCCTATCTGGGTCTCGGCTTCCCACCTGAAAAATGAGGAATAGCCTTGCTGGCACAACAGTTAACCACTTGATTGCTAATTGAAAGGTTGGTCATTTGAACACATCCAAGGGTTCTGTGGAAGAAAATCCTAATGATCTTGCCATTAAGTTGGAACTGACTTGACAGTACCCAACAACAATAACAAACTAAGTATCTCTATGGTTCCTTCTGGCTTCAAGCTCTGTGACAGTGTCAAAGAATGTATCCCTTTTCCCTGGTAACAAAGGGCACACTAAACTATTCAAGGGTGAAAGTGCCCCTGAGATCACCTGGCTCTGTCCTGAGGCCACACACCATGAATATCATGGTATTTCCAACAGCTTTTAAGACGCCCTCCTGTCCTTCCTTTTAATGTTCCCTCCTAACCATTCAGCAATGGGCTCAAGAGTGTCAGAGACGATGAGGAGGGCACCGGATAGGACAGGGTTCAACTCTGTTGTTCACAGGGTTGCTATGAATCATACTTGACTCAATAGCACCTGACACAATCACCACCTATCCATCCATGCTTAGAGGCAAGGATGCCAAAACTTAAAGTCTCACATACTTGGGGAATGTTGTCAGAAGGGGCCAGTTCTTGGTAAAAGATTATCACGCTGGAAAAGGTGGAGGGTCAGAGGAGAAAGACCCTCAGTGAGCTGGACTGACACAGTGACTGGAACAATGGACTTGGGCATATCAGAGATGGTGAGGACGGTATGGGATAGGACAGTGTTGAGGGCTGTTGTTCATAGGGATCTCTGAGTCATAGTCGACGTGATGGCACCTAATAACAACCTAACATTCCAGATGTCTCCTGGAAGAAAAAGAGAAAGAAAGGGTGGACTGTCAGAGGGAGCAGAGTAAACAGTCTCTGAGAAGGCATTCCCCCTTCCTCCAAAAGAAAGAGCAAAACTTGAGGGAGAAGTAATCAGCTTTTGCGGCCAAATACACTAATTCTTGGTTTTCTCATCCGTAAAATGGGAATTCTACCATTCTGATGGAGAAGTTTTTGTTATAATTGGAATTTGCTCTCTGCCATATAGAAAGGTTGTTGTTGTTGTTGTTTAATGCCGTCGAGTCGTAGACGACTCATAGCGACCCTATGAACGAACAGCCTGAGCACTGTTCGTACATAGTTTCCAGAGGCAAGCCATTTCGGAAGTGGATGCCGCTCCTGCTTCCAGGCTTGATTTAGTCGGGAAGCTCCAGCCAACACTGTCCACCATGGGTGCCCATTACCACGAATGGCACTCAAATAATCAGCTTCCTCTCACATCCTGGAATAAGTGCAAATTTAGGAAAAAGCAGACATTCCTATGATGGCCCTTAGGTCTTTCCCAATGTTGGCAAAGTATAGGTTTCTTAACAAGAATAAGAAAAACAAATCCAAAACAACAAACCCATTGCTAGTCCTGCCAAGTAAATGCCAGGTCCTTAGTGTGCTGTTGAAGGCTTCCACAGTCAGGGCTAACCCATCTCTCCTGCTACTGCTCCTCAGTCCCCACCCGTGGTGCACCCTTGTCCTTACTCACTTCAATGCCTTTGCTGTCACCATTTCTTTTGCCATAAATGGCTTTTTTGGTCCCATTTTCACCTGAGACATCTGTAACTTCCCCAAGAATCAATTCAATGGGCCCTAAGAAAATTAGAAATGAGACACAGAGATTTGTACACCAATGCTCATAGCAGCGTTATTCACCATTGCAAGAACATGGAAACAACCAAAATGTCCAACCACAATCAAATCAATTAAGAAATTGTGGTACATTCACACAATGGAACACTATGCAGTAGGTAGGAACAATGATTTAGAAAATTACTACCTAACAACAAAGGGATGGATAGAGAAGCTGTGGTATATTCAGACAATGGAATACTATGCTGCATTGAAAGACAAGGAACTCATGCAATATTATTCAAAATGGGTAACCCTGGAGGACATTATGCTGAGTAAAGTATCTCAGTCACAAAAGGACAAATACTGCATGGTGCCACTATTGTAAAACAGGACTGACATCAGGTTTGGGGGGAGACTGAGAAAGATGGGCTCCATAATATTTACTGCATTGAAACAGATGAGGGAGAAAACTGTTTAAAAGGGATATGTGATTAGGCTGCATATTGGAGTGGACCTGGGGGGAGGGATTATAAAACAATGAAAGAATTTTTCTTTTACTTTTCCAACAGGGTAGGGGGGAGGGTTGGGATGGGAGAAAAGTGCAACAATGAATGAATGGAAATCCAAAATCTCTGTAAATTTTCATTGAAATGATAATAATTTTTTTAGAAAAAAAGAAAACTACTACCTAACTTGGGAGGGACTGGAAAGCATTGTGCTAAGTGAACTAACTCAGTCCCATAAAGACAAATACTACATAACATCATTATTGTAGAAATAAAACGATAAGTAGTAAAGTGTGCATGAGGATCCAAGCAGGGGAGGGGAAGACAAGAGGGGTGAGGATGGGCGGGGCCTAATCATAGGGTCACACAATTTGATAGGTAGAGGGAAGGGTAAGTAAAGGAAATGGGAAAGATCCAGTGTGAAATACACGAACTTTGTAAGTAAACCAATATAAAAAAATTTATTAAAATAAAAAAGTCAATTCAAATGTCATTTCTCCCATGACACTTGCCTGCATCCTGTGGGAAATGCATCTCCTCTCCCTGGGTGTCACCCGGCATCATGAGGCCTCTAGGACCCCAGCACCTCAGTTATTGGTGTTCCATGAGGACATGCCCCTTCTGCTAGCTCCTTGATAACCACTCTCTTCCACAGGCCTTAATAAAGAGGGGTTTTCTGAATTCATACTGAACACTCCATGAAATCTAGATGAAGAAAATGTTACCAAACAGGAGGAAATGCCATTTGTTTTCTGTCAGGACACAAGGACGTGCTTTGATTAAAACACTATCTCCCACACCTGGAGGCGTTCTGGGAAAAGCCAGGACATCTCCTGGTCAGAACAAAGGAGTTATTAGGCAATGAAGGGCAAGTCTGGCTCATTTTATGAACCCAGACAGAGCACAGACAACCAGTGTGAATGAAAAGCAAAGACAAGCAGACTAGGCAGGGTCCTTGAAAGGTCATCTCTTTCATCCTCCTGTCTCAACTAAGTAAGATGTTTACACATCTTTCAAACACTGCTTTTTTTAAAAAAAAGTATGCATCCTTCATGAAAAGTGATCCTACCCCCTCCTTAGGAGTTGCTGTTCTTGGGTCCTAGAGAGCAGATTTCAATTTATGGTGACGCCCCTGTGACAAAGCAGAACTGTCCTATTGGGTTTTCTTGGCAAAAATCTTTATGGAAGTGGATCACAAGGTCTTTCTCTCTTGAAATGGCTGAATAGGTTCCAGCTCGCAATCTTTCAATTTGTAAGCCAGTGCTTAATCATTTGTGTCACCAAGACTCCTTTCCTGGAGGGCAGATGCTATTTGATCTCAGAAAATCAGTAATCCCAATGCTGCGGCCAGTGCCAGGCTGAGACAAATACATGTGACTCAGCTGAGGAGGAGAGACAATCTCTTCTGCTGGATCTTGGATCTGGCACTCTGGTAGCCACCTTGTGACCCAGAATGAACCTAGCTTGGAAACAAAGCTGATATACTGATGATGGCAGAATGGAAAGATGAAATTAAGGAGCTCTGGTTCCTTAATGACAAAGCTGACTGCTGAATTATCCAACCCTGGAGCTGTCCTATCTCTGGGCTTCTTGATAAGTGAGATAAAAGATGAATATTTGGAAAAAAAAGATGAATATTTGGCTTCAATCAATTCTTTAGCTGGGTTTATGTTATTTATGTTAAAGGCACCTTCCCTTTTACTTAAGATAAAACATTTTTCAGTCACTTGCCAAGGATTCTGTGTTTCTGTGAAAACAATACCATTAGCCTCTCCTTTCAAAGTGTTATTGATCAATAAAAATATATGTTCTACTCCATAATCAAGGAACTGATAAGGGAGGATAAGTATTGCACTGCTAACTGAAAGGCTGGGAGTTCAAATCCACCAAACAGAAGCTCTGGAAACATGCTCTGGAGGAGAAAGACGTTCTCGTTAAAACTACTTACTGT